GAAGGAAATGCGCATACAACCCCAGGAAGCTCAGAGAATTCCAAAAATCAGGGATCCAAAGAGGCCCACACCAAGACACATCATAATTAAAATGCCAAAGAGTAGATGCAAAGAAAGAATATTAAAAGCGGCAAGAGAAAAGCTGATAGTTACCTAGAAGGGAACACCCATAAGACTGGCAGCTGATTAAGAAACTATGCAGCACAGAAGGGTTTGGCACAAAATATTCAATGTAATAAAGACCCAGGATCTACGACTAAGAATAGTTTATCCAGCAAAACTATCATTTAGAGGCGAAAGACAGATAAAGAGCTTCCCAGGCAAAAATAAGCTAAAGGAATTCATCAACTCCAAGCTAGTATTACAGAAAATGTTGGAGGGACTTCTTTAAGAAGAAAAAACATGTATTGAAACATGAAGAATGGTAATAACTACATATCCATCAACAAGTACCTCAAATGGAAAAGAATTAAGTGTTCCAACCAAAAGATAGAGTGGCTGAATGGATAAGAAAACAAGACCCCTATATATGCTGCCGACAAGAGACTCACTTCAGATTAACAGACACACAAACTAAAAGGAAGGAGATGGAAAAGATATTGCCTTGATGGACCTATAGGGTATTACACTGAATGAAATGGGTTGGATAGAGAAAGACAATATTGCATGATTTCACCTACATGTGGAATCTAAAGAATCAACAACAAGAACAACAACAAAATCGGGAATAAACTCATAGATACAGAGAATATTTAGAGGGATACTAGATGGGAGGGGCCTTGGAAGGACAAAAAAGGCAAAAGGATTACGAGGTACAAGTGGATAGTTGCAGAACAGATGTGGAGATGTAGAATGTAGCATGGGGAAGATGGTTAATAATGTAATAAATATGTAAGGGAGAAAAGCGGCACTAGATTTAGTGGGGTGATCGCTTTGTGGGTTATGTGGATCTCTGATCACTATGCTATACAACCGAAACTGGTATATTATTGCATGCTAACTATAATTGAGATAAACTCATTGAATTGTACAATGTAAATATAAACAATAATAAATATAATTGTCTATTATATTTCAATAAAGCTGGAAAAAAATTAAGAAAAAAGTTTCAGAAATCTCTCATCATTCGTTGTATCAAAGTTCTTCCCAAGAAAGTACGAAAGGCATTTTGAAAATTATGAAATTATTCCACAAATAATTTCATAAATAATTTCAGGACAGTTCGCATCACTCAACAATGTATATTTAAATTTTCAGGAATATGCTAGTAATTTTTGTGTATCAGTATTCATATGTAGATTAATTGGCCTAATTATAATTGATTAAATACATGTCTTTTTAATAATGGACACCTATATTTCACATTTTTGTATTTCCAAAAGGGTGTATTCTGTGAAAGAAATAAAAAAAATAGAGATATTTGGTCTAAACATATACAAAGTAGCCCTGGGTTTTATTAGTGTGTCCAGTCAGGGTATTGAGCCCATACAATAAAAATTAAGTGATATATTTTCTTTTTACTATTGGTTGACTAGAATTATTTCAGCCACTTTAAATATTTTACTTGTGTGAGGAGTTTTTCCTTTTCTTCAGTCTCTTCTGCTGTAAGAGGTTCAGCTCCATCAATCTTTTTTTGCTCCTCTCTTTGAGCCACAGCTTGATTTGGGATATCAGGGTTCCTTGGGACCTATAAATCAAGAGATGAGTTATGAATAAACTGTTGAGAAAAATTAATTAAGAGTATATATACATGTATCAATTTTTAAAGTTATTTCAACAGTAAACACCTTAAAGTCATACCAGAATGACATATGATCTTCTCCACATTCCTACTTCCATGATATTACCAAAATAAAAAAATTAAGTGTGCCACATGGCATTTGAGAGTTAAAATAAATTGCTAAGTGCCACATTATATTCTGGATTTAATTATATTGTGGAACAAAATATATCCTTATAATATTGTAATACATGGTAATAACAGTAATATCATCATACCCAGCACCAACATTATACAATAAAATATCAAGGTGAGAAGAAACAAAAAGTTTGGCAGTACAAAAAGAGCCCATATTCACCCATCAATATAGACCAGGGTAGAGAAGTACACCTGAAAATTACATCCAACACTCTGATCAGTTCATAGTGCAAAAAGAAAGGAGTGCTTTTATTGCCTGCCAGGGTATGGAAAGGGAGAGCATCTTCACATCAAATGCAAGAAGTCGAGAAGAAGTGACAGGATAATGGAGAAGCAAGAAAAAAAAAGATAATATATATAAGAGGGTAGGAGTAGCAGAGTAAACACAGAGCTGTGATAAGACCCACAGTCCAGGGAAAAAGACTACAGTAGCAGTGGCCAACAGAAATTATAGTGTTCTGGATACAGAGCTGCAAATATACTCACAATTAAGGAGGAGAGAGTAAAAGTTCAAAAGAATGAGGACAGAAGCTTAGCTCTCCAAGGAAGCAGTCAGTCACCTCAATCTCAAAATTGTAGCCCCAGGGGCCTCAGCGTGTCACAGTGAACACAGACAACCAGGACAATTCAGCAGTGTGGAGCGGCATTTATTTGTATGGAATGACAAAGTAATCGTCACTCAGCCCAAAGCCTCACATCATTTCTGTGTGCGTCTGCAGAGATGATGCAGCGCATTAAGAGGTCAGGTACATAACTTGTGTAGTACATTTTACAGCATGCCTTTACATGCAAAAAGAAAAGGGTTGACAGTAAATCTTCTACTGTTTAGAAAGTACACCTATCATAAATGACTCATTCCCTCTATGCGTATCAGATGATTTTATTACAATGTAATTATAATACATATTATAGCATATTTTTCTAATTTTGATATTAGAAATTAAGAAATATATATATATATTTCATAGTTTGAAGCTATATCACTGTAGCCTAAAAATAAATATTTTTGAAAACTATTACATCCAACAGTTGTTTAAATATAAAACCTACTAACTAGGCATTAAAAAGAAATAACCAAAAAACAGGCTCATTTGTAATCTTCAATACCAGGCAAATTATTAAGTATTGACTAAATGTCTATCATGTCTGTAGCACTACGATAGGTATTCACTGAAACACAAAAGTAGTGGACAAGAACCTTGCCTGTAGGGAGCTAGTTGTGGAATTTTGAGCTGTACCTTAAGAACTCAAAGGATTTAGGGAGATGGAGAGAAGGGAAAGAAAATTCTAGGCAGGAGAAATATGAGGAAAAAACATAAAGGCAGAAATGGGCGGGAAAGAGCACACAGGGTTTATGCTGAGAATGGATAAGAAACAAGGGCAGGTGGAGACAGATTTAGAGGGCCTTCTGAAACTGCACAGTAGGCAACAGTAAAGCACTGGAGATTTTTGAACAAGGGAATATAGTCAAAACATAGTGTTTTCACCTTTAAGCCTTGTGCTGGATGGATTGAAGTAGAGAAGTGACTAGAGGTAAGTGAACCAGCTAAACTATTGTAATCTAAAAATGATGTATGATCACCTGGACTAGGACGATGGCAAATGGAAATAGAAAAGATATGCTAAAAATGAAATGTAGGACCAATATGACGTAGATGATAGAGGCTCTGTTCATCCCTCTAGCGACCAAATCAAAGTTGTGACGGAAACAAAGAGCAAGCAGCAAGAAAAATCTCCTGAGATATTGATGAACAAGCCATACAACTAGGGAGAAATCCAAGAAAGCACCCTGCAATGGCAGAAGGTAGGACCGGGCGAGGACATGGGGCTGCCCGGTCTCGAGCGGCTGAGTGAGACAAAGGCTGCGGCAGCATCAGCTGCAGACGCCTCTTGAAGGGGCTGCATCCATGTGCGGATTTTCGCGGTGACAGACCTGCTTGCTCTGAGCACCTGTGCCGATTCAGCTGCACACAAGGAACACAAGAGACTTACAGGGAGACACTGCCAGAGTGAAGGTCAAGGTGAGACTTGCTCTGTACAGAAGTGCTGGTGGTATACATTGTTCCCTATTGAACCCTCCCAGCTCCTAGTGCACAGGCACAGCACCACCATAACCGTGAGGTCACTGAACTGGATAAGAGAGGTCACTCCACCCAGAGGATTCCCTGAAACTCTGCCTCCCCAACTCACGGCCCCGCCCAAGCCACATCCAGGTGCGTCCTTGGCAAGTCAGGTGCTCCTTGCTGAGCCAACCTCAAGACTCACACTGATGGTAGCTGGCCTTGGTTTCCAGCATGGCCTCTTGAGGCAACTATGAGCACAACATCTGTGGATTGCTTGCTGAATCTTAACAGGTAGCCCCAGAGAAGCGGAGGTTTGGGCTAAGTTTGGCCTGCAGCTGAACTCTTCTCAAGATTGTGCCACTGAACACCTACTTCACAAATCCACACTAATAAGACCGGGAGACTTAGGAACTTTGCTTAGTACATAGAAACAGACATGGAAAGGCAGCCAAAATGGGAACACAAAGAAACAGAAACCATATGAGAGAACAGAACAGAGATCCAGATATAATGGAGTCAAGTAATCTAATAGGCACAGAGTTCAAAACACTGGTTATAAAGATGCT